ACAAAGATAGAATAGATGATAGAGTATTTTCCTTAACTTGCCAAATGTAAATAGACTAAATATTGTAACTATAATTCTTGCTTGATAATTGTTTTGTTATATGTAATCTTGCTATATCAAAGTTAAAACCTTCCTTTTTATTTAGACAGAAAATGGGAGGTGATGTGTGATTCCCCTCTGTATGCTGTGAATATGTTTTATTCCCATTGGTTAATAAAGAAACTGCTTTGGGCCTATGGCAGCACAGAATGGAACAAGGTAGGAATTCTAAGCAGAGATAGAGGAGAAAAGGCAGAGTCAGGGAGATGCCATGTAGCCACTGAAGGAGACAGATGCTGAATGGAACCTTACTGGTATGCCACGGACATGTGGCGATACACAGATTAATAAAAATGGGTTAATTTAAGATGTAAAAGTTACTTAATAAGAAGCCTAAGCTATTGGATATGCAGTATTATATAAGTAATACAATTTCTATATAATTATTACGGGTCTAGGTAGTGGGGAAATGACCAAGCGACCTCTGACTAAACCGGGATATAATGAAGTTTGCAAGCTATACAGCATATACAAGATTAATGTCTAAGTTTGATTGTCCTGTTAAGCATTCATGATTCCTTGACTACTAAGGGATCAAACAAAGAACACAAATCAGCCTGAATGCTTCACTGCCTGAGGGAATTCAACAGTATGTTGGGAACTGGGAGGTATATTGTGACCCAGGGACCATGGACTTTAACCTGAAAATCCTATGACACAGGTCTCTCGAGGCAGTTAGGTCAGGCCAACTCCGTGGTTCCCTACAGAGCCTATTGCCCACTAAAATCCTATGACCTTGGCCTCCACTGTCTGCCATTACTCTCAACATTCCCATCTTCTAGGCCCTACAAGAACAGCTCTTTGTCCAGTTTTCTGATATCTTCAGCTTTCTTATAAGAGTCAATATTCCAAGTTCCTTTGCAGCAACAAAATCCCCTTTGAGTCCCATTTTTTTCCAACTTTCTTCCCTGTTGCTGTTATTAAAGTATGCAATCCAAAGCAACTCAGATAATGAACGTATTTATTTGGTTGTTAAACCTACTTTACAATTCCTCCTTATGAGAGCTTAGAATAGAAACTCAAGTTAATAACTAAAGGCAAAATATGTGGAACCATTGTTTTCTGGCTTTCCCTCTTGTTTTGTCACTGTCTTGTGCTCAGCTAGCTCTCCTATCCATCCTAAGACTGCTTCCTCAGAGATATTGCCCACTCAGTGGAAGAGCCTTCCTATATCAATCAAAAATCAACACAATCTCTCTCAGACACCTTAATCAGACATTCTGATCTAGGCACACCCTCAATTGGTACTGTCTCAGATCACTCTAAGCTATGCCATGCTGAGAGCTGAGGCTAATTAGAAGAAAGAGACAATAATATACAAGGTTTTAAAGACCCAAAGGCAATGTACTAATCATATCAATCACTTAAGCAGCAAAAACACAAACATGAAGATAGATATGCCAGGAAATGGAAAGAGGCAAACATCTAAGATAAACAAGAGAAAACTAAAACTGTCTCTCCACAGAATCTTCCCAAACCAACAAAAACTCAAGGAACTCATAACATGAGAAATCTGAATACAAAATTGGTGAGACCATTATTTTCCAGAAAATAAACAATATACTTAGATAACAATGAATAAAATCAACAACATAGGTGGTGGGTAGCACTGAAAACAAAGACACAAAGATATATTATGCTCCTTTAAATAAAAAAACTACAAGATTCTAACAAAATCAAACTCTAAGAAATCACTGACCAGCACTGATTTCAGTTCTCTCTCCTTTACCAATAACAGAAAATGGTTTGGGTGAGGAGGGCTGTTGCACCAAAATTGGAGAGATTCACTTAAAACCTTCTCACGCCTTAATTTCATAGAAAATAATTTTGAATACTAAAAAAAAAAATCTCATTATCTTATAGTAAAGAAAAGGATGTCTGTTAGGATCACTTAGACACCATTTTGCTCCGCCTGATTGATGATTGCCTGTAAGTCTGCAATCTGAGTGAGGAAATAAAAACATTTTAAAACAAAATGCAAGATAACAGATTTTTAAAGAATCAGTGGACACCTAAAGCAACCTGTTTTACTCTAATTGCTTTATAAGTCACAAGCACTTTTGAAAACAAATTTGTTACTATTTTTTGGCATATGTTTGTGCATGAGTGAGAATGTCTTCTATATGTATACAAGTAACTTGCTGGAATCGCTGTTCGGGGTACTCTACCTCTTTGGAAACTAGAGATACCTGGTGGCGCTATCATTAATAAAGCCTATTGCTTCTTGCATCTGCTGGACTGGTTAATTGAGTCGTGGGGCTTCTCCCTCTTGGGCCTGCACCCAAATGGGTGAGGGTCTTTCACTCACATCATTTTTCTCGGAGTATACATCTTAAACCTGGAAAATACAGTCATGATAGACAGGGCTACACCATTTTATCCAGCTCCACTTTACTTGAATTACTGTAACTACAGTAATTAGGTTTAATGGTAAGTTCAATTCTTTATATAGATTCTTGTATGCATGGTCTGCGGGTCCACCAAATGGCCAGTCAGCACATTTGTGGAACATCTAAAGTTGATTGCCTCACTACTCATTGCTAATGTCAACTACCATCACAACAGGAAAGCTTCTACCCTCCTTCTTGCCCATCCTTTTTCTGTTGTGAATACACTGGCTTTACAGTTGGTCAATGAACTCAATTCTTACACAGGTCCCAGTTCACTTGTAAATTCACAATAAAGTCTACAGAAGTTGGAGGATATTCATTCACTGATCTCTTTCTCCTTCACACAGGCCAATCGAGGTCCAGCTTGGAAGGAGTTGCTGGACTGTCTTTCCAGCACTGGGTAGCAGAGGCAGGATTAGGTGTTCAAAGCAATTCTCAGTTACATAGTATGACGTAAGCCTGAGCTATAGGAGACACTAATATAAACCAATTGTTCTCAATCTTCCTAATGCTGTGGCCCTTTAATATAGTTCCTGATGATGTGGTGACCCCCCCACCTATAAAATTATAAAAAGTTCACTCCTACTTCATAACTATATTTTTGCTACTGTTATGAATTATAATATAAATATCTGTAATTTCTGATGGGCTTAGACTAGTCCTGTGATAGGGTCATTTGATCCCCCAAAGGGAGCTGTGACCCTCAAGGTTGAAAAACCCTGCTCTAAACTGATATAAATATATAAATAAATAAACAGCACTTAAGAAAAAATAGAATGAAATTATTTAACTTGGAAACATTGAATAAATAAAGCAGCAATGCATTTAAATAAAATGAATGTTAAAAATAATACCAATAATTGATGTTTTAAAATGATAAAAATAGTAGGAAGAACCCTTATCCATAGTGACTATGATATAGAGTAGGCCCTTCCCTGATAGAGAGAATGCCATTAATAAGAGACTATATTGGCAGACTAGGTGCAGTATGCCCACAGGAGGTCAGTTGTGAAAGAGTGGGCACAGACCGGCAATGGAAGAGGTTGCTCAGCTTCCACGTAAAATGTTAGCCACTGAGTGCTGTAATCTAACACAGGGAGTTACATTCAACTCCTGTTTCTCAAACATCTCAGCTGACTTAACCGTGTCAACCAAGAGTGTACATATCTGCACAGCTTTGCTAACTGGAGTTCAAGCGACCCTCCCTAAATTGTACACCCACCAATTCTGACTGTCTTCATTCACATGGAAGGAATTAATACCTGCAGGGAAATTACAGAGAAAGTCACTCACCATGCCCCCTCAGTCCTTTGTAATGGAGAGCCCTGCAGCTCACTGCCTTCAGCTCCAGTCCGTGACCTAGCTATTATCTAATCTGTTTTCTCCCGGCAGTGTTCCTCCTCTTCTGGTCTGAATGGAGGAGCCAGTACTCCACACGCAAATCCTTTCCCTGTTCTGCAATGGACAGTCCACTATGTGGCTCAAACTGGGAATTTTAGAACGCTGTGGTGCTGCAGACATGCAATCCAAGGTTTAGTGTTTAGTCAAGAGGACAACAAGGGCTTTGTGGGGCTACGGACAGGGTTCAAATACACTTCAATCAGAGTCGGAGACCTTGACTCCAAATCACTTTTCAAAAAGACTAGAAATGCCAATGTTCTAGAATTACTATACTTTTATGGCACACCAGGACTTAATGGGGTTGTGACCCTGGAATGGTCGCTTGAGCAGCATTAAGAGGGTGGTTTTTAAATAGAGGGGTGGGTACTTCTGCTGGTTGTAAAACAGGGTTGTCTCCTTGGCTTTGGGAATGTAGCTGGTTGATCCTGGAGAACAAACATTTACATCTTATTCTAATCTCTAACACATGCGGTTAGCATACCACTCTGCTTTGGAATATTTGGGCTGCAGCTCACCCTTACCTGCTTTCTACTTTGTGACTTAGTGTTTCCTAAGAACTGGTAAGTCCTTATGCCGTCAATTCTACTCTTCTACATCACAGTAGCAGCGGAGTGCTACTCTATACAGGAGATACTATTTACAAGCTCCACAGAATTAACTCTTAGATGGATCCTAAACCTAAATGTTAAATGTTAAAAGTGCAGAACTTCTGGAAGACAATAGAGGCACCACGGCTCTCCAACCTTGGCAAATCTGTGTTACAGAGCCAATACAAGCACTAAGGGCGCCGGCATTTCAAGGTGATATCAACAAGGATATTTCAAAGCACAGTCCCTCTCCCAAGGCTCTGCACAGACGCAGTCAGGAGAGTGAAGTTGCTCAGAGACTGCCAGTCGGCCCAGGAAATACAAAGAACATGCAGGACCACTCAGACCACGCCGGAGTATTAAGGACCAACAGAAGCACGCTGGATGATGCAGACCCAGGCAGGAATATGCTGAACTCTGCATACGATCACTGGCTACCACACAGCCAGAGGAGGATGAACCACACTGGCTCCCGTGGCTCAACTAGCAGCTCCTCCCAGTCTGGGGATAGCCCCAAGCTCACCGTGTCGTGGCTTTCCAGCTTTCCCATGCCGTCTGCTCAGCTGCCTGCAGCAATACTCTTAGCACAGCACACAAAACCACCGGTGCCAGCTTCTCTTCAAAGCTTGGAATTGGGGCCGGAAGGACCAGGCACAATTTCTGACTGACAGGTCAACTAGAGAATCTGATTGGCTAGTGAGGTCTGAATGACAAGAGCACCTCCCATAGGATTATACTGTGCTTAAAGACACAGTACAATGTTTCCAGGCCCTGCCTTTCATCTGAAAACCCTTTTCTGAATCAGCAGAGAAGCGTTTCCGTAGCATTTGCCCCTGGCTCCAATAGTAGACCCTGCTATCTCCAGAGGCACTTCCCCTTCTCCTTGACACAAGGTGACTCACTAGTTTGCCACTTGTAGCCAGTTTGACTTCCAAGATTAGCCATCACAACACTCAAGACAGAAGAGGGGAGAAACATCCTTAGCTGCAGGAAACAGGAAAAGCATGGGAGTTATTTCCAAAACAAAGCTTTTCCTGAACAAAGGAAGCGTGTGGATTTTACTTAGGGAGTCTGTACACATGAAAGACCCCCACTCACTAAGCAGCAGTAATGCCATTTTGCAAGGCTTAAACTTTGGAGCAACGCAAGTAATTAGAGCAGGGAAGTTCGACTTGAAAACAAGGGCAGGCAAGATATCTGCGGTCAGCCGGTCAGCCACCTGGCCCCAAGCGATAAGGAACCCGCAGCTGGCCTGCTCTAATGAGAACCTCCCGTTTGCATAGTCAGCACATGTGCCCAACTTAGAATGTCAGTAATTCACAGAAGAAGACAACTCCCCCTATGAAAGATCCCAGCTTATCTGCTGTAACGTCATTTCACAAAGCTTTTGACGAACGACTGTAAGTGCAGAGTAAGGTCAGGGTCCCTGGCTGCAAGACAGGATCTTTATATCCATAGATTAGGACAGGACATCAATTAACAGGATATCTGTTCCCATACATCTGTGCTGGGAGAGGAAAAACCACCTGTGCCCCTTGCCCCATTCCAACTGACCACTAACGATGCATTTGCTTCTGTAATCTGCTTCTGCTGCCCTCTTTCCTATAAAAGACCTTCCCCCAGTCTGCAGGGGCGCGATGTCTTCCGAGAGACTAAGCCGCCCCAGGTACCTGTGTATTAAATAAAGCCTCTTGCTATTTGCATCCGAAGAGTGACTCGCTGTTCCTTGGGAGGGTCTCCTCAGCCTGAAAGACTGCCTACCACGGGGGTCTTTCACACATACAAGTAGATTTCAGCCTATCCCTAAGCAGACTCGGCTAACAAACCCATTTCTGAACATAATCACAATGTAAAAGCGAAGACATTTCGGGGCATTCTTGCTTCAAAGTCATACAGAAACATATAAATTATAAAAACGATGGAAAGAGGGGCTGGAGAGATGGCTCAGAGGTTAAGAGCATTGCCTGCTCTTCCAAAGGTCCTGAGTCCAATTCCCAGCAACCACATGGTGGCTCACAACCATCTGTAATGGGGTCTGGTGCCTCTTCTGGCCTGCACACACACACATACACACAGACAGAATATTGTATGCATAATAAATAAATAAATATTTTTAAAAAAAACGATGGAAAGAAACGCCTCTGGCATATTCATCTTGTACCACAAGTGTTAATCTGTACTGGCCTGCCCTTGAGTTCCTGACAGATGTGTCCTCAGCTGCAGCCACTCCTGCACACTTCCCGTACTGTCCCTTTTAAACAGTGAGCCTTGCCCACCTCCCGCTCCCTCTTTCTCCCCTTCCATCTGAAAGACCCTAGAATTTCTAAGGCCACGAGGGAAGTCCCCAGACTCAATAATCCAGGCCAGCAGATGCAAGAGCAAGAGGTTTTATTTCGATAGCGCCATCAGGTGTCTTCAGACTGGGGGGAGGGGGGGAACACGACTGAGCACACCAAGCAAAATTCCAGCAAGCTTATATAGGCAAAGTTAATTACGTACTCTGCAGTTTTCAGAGCATAAATATCACAGGTTATTTTAAACAGATCAGGCAGTGACAATGGACAAAGTTGTTTGTTCATTCCATTTCCCAGATTCTGGCCCTGACCTTCCCCATCTGGTCTTTTGTTCGATTACTCAAGGGGACAGACTATTCCTTTTGTGAACTGCTGTCATTCTAAGTTTGGCACAAGTGCCAATCACAGGTATCCTGTTCTCCTAAGCAAACAGGATGTTCTCATGAGAACAAGCTAGCTCCAGGTTCTGGGGAGGGGGTCTTGTAGGTCTTTCAAGCAAACAAGGTGTTCTCACGGGAGCAGGCCAGCTGCGGGTTCTGAGGGGGGGTCCTTAAGGGTCTCTCACATCCATCCCTCCCTTCCTCTTTTCCTCTCTCTCTCTCTCCCTCTCTCTCTCTCTCTCTCTCTCTCTCTCTCTGCCTCTGCCTCCCACCCCCACCCCAACTCTCTCTTCTGTCTCCAGAGGCTGGTCTCCCCACCCCACCCCTTTTTTCCACATTCCTTTTCCCCTAATAAAAGCCCCTCCACGTGAGCTCTTCTTTTGAGCCACTTGTTAAAATTACAACAAGTTCTTAGCTGAAAATCAGGAAATGACACTGTGAAATTAGATTTCTCAGGAGCCTGTGTGACCTGTCAATCTTGATGTTTGATCTAAAAGATAACTGTACAGATGCCCCAGTTCTCACCAATACAAAAGATAGAGAACATAAATACAGAAAACTTCAAGGAAAGGGCACTTAACAGCCCTGTGCACTCTGCTTTTAGATGAATGATTATGGTGAGCTCTGTTAACCTCAGAACAAAGCTGTTTTTACTTCTGAGCTGGCTGGCTCAGCAGAAGACCACAGATGCTTCCATGCAAGATCAGAAGGAGTTCATTTTAACTGCCCCTGGCTTCTGTCTGTCTCAGGGTTGTGACATCACTGTAGAGAATTCCATCCTTTCCTTTTTTTAAACTTTTTTCTTTAAATGTAGTTATATGGGTGTTTTGCTTGTATGTGCCTGTGAACAGTACTTACAGAGGCCAGGAGATGGAAGGAGATGCCTGGGACTGGAGTTACAGCAAATAGTTAGTTATCATGGAGGTTCTGGGAATTAAACCCGGGGCTCTGTAACAACACCCAGTGCTCTTAATTGCTGAGCCATCTCTCTACTCCCTCTTCTTATTTAACATTTAATGTCATAAATTGATCACATGATATTACATCACTTTCTGTTTGGGTAGAAAGTTCGCATCTCAAACACACTCTCCTGGGAGTTACTTCAGTACAGCCTCAACACCCAAGAAAGCCTACCAAATGATGACCCTGAAAGACCCCCCGTCCAGCTTGCTAAGCAGCTTAGCACCAGATGAAAGCCCCCCCCCCCCCCCCGCCCAGCTTGTTAAACAACTTAGCCCCGGTAATGCCATTTTACAAGGCTTATACTGAATATTCAGGATTTGAACAAAGGGCAGTTTAGAAGCTGCCAAAACGAGATAGAGACACCTGTGGCTGGGCCCGGGGGAGGAACGAGGAATACCAAGAATGTGGCTGGATGTCGTCTGCCCCAGGCGGGGAGAAGACATTCTGTCTGCCCTAGATAAGAGCCAAGGCAGCCCATATCTGAATTCTCAGGGACTAGGGACCTTGTCCTGACCTGAACTCGGCCACATTCAAACTAACCAATAAAAACCCTGTAACTACGCTTCTCGCTTCTGTACCACGCTTTTTGCTCCCCAAAACATATATAAACCTGTAGTAATAAGGGCAGCGGGGCTGCGTCCCCAGCACCCCAGCCGCCTGCTCGGCTAGCTTATGCCCGAAATAACAACACACAAACTGTATTCATTTAATCACTGCTTGGCCCATTCTCTTCTAGGCTAATTCTCACATATTAATTTAGCCCATTTCTAATCATCTGTGTGTAGCACATCAAGGTGTGCTTACCGGGGAGATTCTAGCCTAGTCCATCCTGGGTCGGAGCTTCATGGCGTGTGTCTGCCCGGGAGCGGGGCATGGCATCTCTGCTGAGGCATCTTCTCAGGAGAGCAGAGCTGTGGAGTCTGACCTCACTTCCTCTTCCTCCCAGCGTTCTGTTCTGCCTACTCCTCCCACCTATCTTTCAACCAATAAAATGGGCCAAGGCAGTTCCTTTATTAGCCAATGACCTTCCTCCCTCATTTCCCCTTTTTCGGTTTAAACAAAAAGAAAGGCTTTAACATAGCAAAATTACATATAACAAAACAGTTATCAAGTAAAAGTTACAATAATCTTTATCATAACTAAGGAAAACTATAACTAACTATTCTTAACTCCATCAAAGACTCCAGAAAGATACAATACTACCTAAGCAAACAAGAAAAAAGCAACTTTTAAAACTCTAGAAATGACAGAGACATCTCGCTGCCTGGACAGTCACCCAAAGTTCCTCTGTACCGTTGGGGCATCCATCTTCAGCCTTCAGGCCCATGGTATCCAGCAGACATTTCCATAAAGCAGGAAAATTCAAAGTCAGTTCAGTCACTATCTGTTGTGTCCTGCAGAATGTCTTGCAAACTCTTTCATGAATCAGGAACCCCGAAAGATCATCTCACCTTAGGCAAGTTCAGTAGTCCTCTCTCTGCGGGTTCTCTGTGTCCAGTTTATGCAATAGTCCAGGCAAGAGCAGTTTCTTGCCCAAATGGCTATCAAACTCCATAAGGTGCCTCTTCGATGCCCATCTTCCTCTTGAAGTAGATTGGTGCTGCCAGGAGCAGAGTGTCTCATTGTCATGAAAAGTCCTCAGTTATTAAAACATTAAATGTCCTATTCTGTAATATTTGAAAGACATGAAGAATATCTATCTAAAATATATCTCTATATATCTAGAAAATCTAACTAACATGACTACAAGCTTTACTATTATCGATGATTATCCATTAACAACCTATATTTCTTAATTATACAGTACATATTTAAATAAACTACACAATCACGATACCTTAATCAAAATCAGAAACACTTATATATATAACAAAATTGACCGTAAATCTCTATCAATAAAGCAAAATCTATACTAATGCAAATTATTCATACCTATATCATATCCCCCTTTAAATGTAAAAGAACGTTTATAAACCATATTTGGGAACATGG